TATATTTTAAAATATAAAAAATAATATAAAATATTTAAAAAATAAATTAAAATATATAATAGTAAATTTAATAAAAAAATAATAAATATTTATAATTTAAATATCTTCTATTAATTTATCTACTTCTGCAATTAGATCCCAGTCAATATCTTCTTCTAATTGACTTGTTAAAAATTTAATTTTTCACTATTATTATCATCATATTCATCATCTATACTAAATTCAATTTTATTTAATTCATCATAAAATTTATCTAAATTTAAAATATTTTGAATTGTTAAATTATTATTTTCTTCTAATTCAATATTTTTATCAACTTCTTCAATTAAATCAGTTTCAGTAATTTCAATATAATCTTCATCTTCATTTAAATAAATATTCATTAACTAATGTAATTTTTTAGCATCATAATATGGTAGTTCCTGTTTAGCATATAAATAATAATATGATACAAGTTTGTATATATTTTTTATTTTATTAAGACCTAATCTATTTCTTCTTTTTCTATAAAACTATCCTAATTTTGATCATACTCTTTCACATCCTGCAGTATGTAGAATAATTGAAAATAGTTTTAATACTAATTGTACTAAATAATTTTCACCTTTTGAAAAACTATCTTCAAGTAAAAACTACCAGATAAGAGAAGTTTTTGAATTACTATACAAAATATCAAATGGTTTTTCTCTTGTATGATATAATTTTATTTGATATAATAATTATTTTCTAGTATAATTTGATTTGTCTAAAATTTTAAAAATTTCATTAGCAGATAATAAAAGCTCTCTAAATATACTATATACCCAATATGTTTCTAATTATAATAATTAATTTTTAATATAGTAAATCAAAAATTAATTTTAAATTAATAATAAATTTTTTTACTATTATATTGTAGATTTAAAAAAAAGTATAATAAATAAATTGGATCAGCAAATTCATAATATCTTTTGTTAAAAATTGTAATGTATTGCTTTTTAAATCTACTATAATCAGTTAAAGATAGTTTATTAATTGCTACACCTAAATAAATTAATTCACATAAACAATCAGATAAAGTGCATGATTGTGATTCTATAATTATAATTGCTTTTTTAATAGGATGTAATATAAATAATAATATATTTGCATTATCAAAAAATGTATGAGATCTTAAAATAGAAATAACTAATTGAGATAAAATATCTATAGAACTATATTTAAGCTAAAATAAAAAAAAATAAATTATTATTTATTATTATTAAAATTTAATATTAAAATTAATAATTCTTACATTTTCTAAAGCTTCTTTAAATGAATAATAGAATTAACACAATCATACATAGTATGCTATCTAGTATTAATCCATTGTTTTAATTCTCTACCAAAAATTTTAAGTTCTTTTATTTCTTCTTTTAGAGCAGCACCTAATTTAAAATAATTAATTTTATTATTTAAAATTTAACAAAATTTTTTAATTATTTTTACCTGCTTGATGACTTTTTTTAAAAAATGTAACTAAGGTATTACATTTTGTTTAAATTTTATTTGCAAAAGAAATATTTTTTGAAATTAAATTGATTGCATGAGCCAAATATTGAACATTAAGGATATTAGGATATTTTGTTGAAATAATTTGTCAAGCATTATTTACATTAGAGCTAGTATCAGTTGTTAATACAGAAAATTTTTTATTACCAATTGTTTCAATAATTTTTTCTAGTTCTTTTGCAATTAATATACCAGTATAGCTTTGGTTTGATAAATCTTTTAAACTCCATAAATATTCACAATAATCTGAAGTATAAATAACAAAATTTCAAATAGATTTATTTGATAAATTTGTCCAACTATCACATGTTTTAAATAAAAAAATTAATTATTAAAATTTAATTATATTAAATATATAAAATATAAATTTATACCTAATGTTAAATTTTCAGAACAATTTAATTTTTGAATTATTTTTAAATTAATTGCTGCTGTTTTTTGAGAAAGAAGTTAACTAGAAAGAATTTGTTGAGAAGATGGTGTATATCCTGGTCATAAAGTTTTTAAAAAATCAATAAAAAATAGACTATTAATAATATTTTATAATATTCTACAAATAACAAAAGCTTTAATACAAGCTTTGTTAATTTTATTAATCCTTTCAGGTGTAAGTTTAAAACTTTTATAAAAATTAGAAATTTTGATTTGAATATTTTTTTTAGATCTAAAATTTTTAGATCTTTTTAAAAGCTTGCTTAAATATTTTTACTTGATTTCATTAGAAACATTAGAACAATTATTAGCTAAATGCTCTTTAAAATCTTGAGAAGAGCCTTTAGTTTGATGATAAAAACAATAATTGCAAGTTTCTTCATAATGACCTTTTGAAATTTCTTTGTCTTTAGTAAAATGATTATTCCAAATATCTGAGGGTAGTCTTCTTTCTTTTTTGCCAACTTGAGACATTTTCTAAATTATAAATATTAATTAGTATTAATTTTAATATAATTTAAAAATAATATTATAAAATATAATATGTAATAGATATTTTATAGATTATTATAAATATTTAGTACTAAGTAAACATTTTGGTCTATCATGTATGCATCTATAATAGAGATAAAAATACAATGTAATTTAAATATTATTATTTGAACAAATATAGTTTAAATTCAAGAATAATTGATCCATAAATTCTAAGATGTATTGCAAGCTTACTATAGTTTAATTTACATTTCATAAGACTTTTAAACCTAAAGTTAAATAATGAATTAGTTTAATAAATAATTAGATAAATTATCAAAGCAATAAATTATCTTACTTCTTTTATTTTTAATGCCTTGAGTGCAATATTGCTATTTAATTCATGTGTTCTTACTGCCATCAATTTTTCATATACTATCCAACCAGATTGCTTTGTATACAGAGCCAAATCCTCTTTCATTAATTTTTTTACAGTAATATCAGATAATCTATCGAATAGAATCTATTCTATATATCGTATATTCATAACTCTAGGTTCTAAGTTGGAATTCTTTCATGCAATCATTAATATCTTTATTTCTACTTGTCTACCTTGTTGTTATATTAGGATTAGTGTTGTAGGTAAAACCTATTTCTAAAATCTGAAAGGCAAAACTAAAACCTTTCAGGGGTGAAATAAAATCAGAAATTCCTAAAACTTCTAAAATCTCTGAAATTGGTAAAACCTCTAAAACTTCTGAAATCCAGTGAAACTAAAACTTGGATGAAACCTCCAAAACCTCCTAGACTTTTAAAGTGGTTCTACTTTATAATTTTATTTATTTGAAATTAGTTTTCATCAAATATATCTATAAAAACAAGGTATATGTATAGATTAGATAATTTAATTATAACTAATTCAATTAGTTTAACTATTCATACTAATAAACTTTTATTATAATACTGTAATATTATTGTTTTATTTAAAATTTATATTATTAAATATTATTAAAATAAAAAAATTTTAAAGTACAAATAAGGAAAAAATCTTAATAATATATAATAATATAATAATATAAAAATAAAAAAAGTATAAAAATATAAAAAGTATAAAAATATTATAAATAATAAAAAATAAATTTAAAATTTAAAATATAAAAAATAAATTTAAAATGTTTAAAATATTGTAAAAAAATTTAAAATATAAATAAAATATAAATAAAATAAATTTAAAAATAAATTTAAAAATATAATATATTTTAAAATATAAAAAATAATATAAAATATTTAAAAAATAAATTAAAATATATAATAGTAAATTTAATAAAAAGATAATAAATATTTATAATTTAAATATCTTCTATTAATTTATCTACTTCTGCAATTGGATCCCAGTCAATATCTTCTTCTAATTGACTTGTTAAAGAATTTGATTTTTCACTATTATTATCATCATATTCATCATCCATACTAAATTCAATTTCATCTAATTCATCATAAAATTTATCTAAATTTAAAATATTTTGAATTGTTAAATTATCATTTTCTTCTAATTCAATATTTTCATCAACTTCTTCAATTAAATCAATTTCAGTAATTTCAATATAATCTTCATCTTCATTTAAATATTCATCAACTAAAATTTCATAAATTTCATTATGTGATTTTTCAGCACCATAATATGGTAGTTCCTGTTTAGCATGTGAATAATAATATAATGCAAGTTTGTACATATTTTCTATTTTATTTAGACCTAATCTATTTCTTCTTTTTCCATAAAACCATCCTAATCTTGACCATACTCTTTCACATCCTGCAGCATGTGGAATAATTGAAAATAGTTTTAATGCTAATTGTACTAAATAATCTTCACCTTTTGAAAAACTATCTTCAAGTGAAAACCACCAGATAAGAGGAGTTTCTGAATTACTATACAAAATATCAAATGGTTTTTCTCTTGTACGATATAATTTTATTTGATATAATAATTCTTTTCTAGCATAATTTGATTTGCCTAAAATTTTAAAAATTTCATCAGCAGATAATAAAAGCTCTCTAAATGTACTATGTGCCTAATATGTTTCTAATTATAATAATTAATTTTTAATATAGTAAATAAAAAATTAATTTTAAATTAATAATAAATTTTCTTACCATTATATTGTGGATTTAAAAAAAAGCATAATAAATAAATTGAATCAGCAAATTCATGATATCTTTTGTTAAAAATTGCAATGCATTGCTTTTTAAATCTGCTATAATCAGTTAAAGATAGCTTATTAATTGCTGCACCTAAATGAATTAATTCACAAAAACAATCAGATAAAGTGCATGATTGTGATTCTATAATTATAATTGCTTTTTTAATAGGATGTAATATAAATGATAATATATTTGCATCATCAAAAAATGCACGAGATCTTAAAATAGAAATAACTGATTGAGATAAAATATCTACAGAATTATATTTAAGCTAAAATAAAAAAAATAAATTATTATTTATTATTATTAAAATTTAATATTAAAATTTATAATTCTTACATTTTCTAAAGCTTCTTTTAAACGAATAATAGAATTAATACAATCATACATAGTATGCCATCTAGTATTAACCCATTGTTTTAATCCTCCACCAGAAATTTTAAGTCTTTTTATTTCTTCTTTTAGAGCAGCACCTAATTTAAAATAATTAATTTTATTATTTAAAATTTAACAAAATTTTTTTATTATTTTTACCTGCTTGATGACTTTTTTTAAAAAATGTAACTAAGGTATTACATTTTGTTAAAATTTTATTTGCAAAAGGAATATTGCAAATATCTTTTGAAATTAAATTGATTGCATGAGCCATACATCGAACATTAAGAATATTAGGATATTTTGTTGAAATAATTTGTCATGCATTATTTACATTAGAGCCAGCATCAGTTGTTAATGCAGAAAATTTTTCACTACCAATTGTTTCAATAATTTTTTCTAGTTCTTCTGCAATTAATATACCAGTATGACTTTGGTTTGATAAATCTTTTAAACTCCATAAATATTCACAATGATCTGGAGTATAAATAACAAAATTCCAAATAGATTCATTTGATAAATTTGTCCAACCATCACATGCTTTAAATAAAAAATTAATTATTAAAATTTAATTATATTAAATATATAAAATATAAATTTATACCTAATGTTAAATTTTCAGAACAATTTAATTTTTGAATTATTTTTAAATTAATTGCTGCTGTTTCTTGAGAAAGAAGTTGACCAGAAAGAATTTGTCGAGAAGGTGGTGTATATCCTGGTCGTAAAGTTTTTAAAAAATCAATAAAAAATGGACTATTAATAACATTCCATGATATTCCACAAATAACAAAAGCTTTAACACAAGCTTTGTTAATTTCATTAATTCTTTCAGGTGTAAGTTTAGAACTTTCATGAAAATCAGAAATTTTGGTTTGAATATTTTTTTTAGATCTAAAATTTTTAGATCTTTCTAAAAGCTTGCTTAAATATTTTTGCTTGATTTCATTAGAAACATTAGGACAATTATTAGCTAAATGCTCCTCAAAATCTTGAGGAGAGCCTTTAGTTTGATGATAAAAACAATAATTGCAAGTTCCTTCATAATGTCCTTTTGAAATTTCTTTGCCTTTAGTAAAATGATTATTCCAAATATCTGAGGGTGGTCTTCCTCCTTTTTTGCTAACTTGAGACATTTTCTAAATTATAAATATTAATTAGTATTAATTTTAATTTTTTTTTAACCTTTTCGGCAAGTCATGCCAATACTTTATTTGCAATAAATTTTGTGCTCGACAAAAATATTAGAA